TAGAATAGGTCCATGGCCACCTGAAATGGCCAATTACAACATTTTTTCGTACGTCCAATAATTTTTATATCAAAAAATGTCATAAATTTGTCAAAATTCAGTTTTCATACTTTTTCACACATACCTCGCTATATCTCCGGATCTAATTGAGATTATTTCATTATTTTTTTTTATTCTGGAGAGAATATGTTAGCGAAAATCACCAAGATAATTTTGTTTTTCTGAAAAACTCGCTTTTTTCGTAAAACTGGATAAAACTTCAACTTACACTTTTTATGCAGTACTTTTTTCAGTAAGCGAGAAACTTTTTTGTTTTAAGGATTTTTGCCACACTATCAGCAAATGAAACGAAGCTAAGACATCGAGGAAGTTTTTGAGAAAAAAACGCGATACTCTAAAATGCATGGTTTTCAAGATATCGTCACTTGAAGTTGAGAGTTTTACCGGCTGTGCTCTACCCCGGGTAGCTTTGCCTCGATCTGTTTGTTTCTTGAGCGCTGGTGCATTTCCATAATACATTTGAGTAAATGCACCTTGTAAATCAATTTTCAGTAGTAATAGCCCGAGGACATTGATAATTGTTCGGAAAAATTTTATAATAGTTGCTTGAAAACCGACCGACGCGTCACAGAAGTCTGTTTTCTATGAGCAACAAGCTTGAGAAAGTTGTCGTAAAATTTTTGAGTATTTATCTTTATCAATGTTTGAGGGTTATTCGGATAGAAATTTATTTGACAGCAATGTCCGAGACAAGGCAATGTCACAGAGTGAAAACAACCCTAGGGCTGTTTTCAGTATAATCTTGACATGATTGGGTGATTTGTGTCACATGACAATAAATAACAAAGTTCAACTGCCTATTAGAACTATCAAAAAATTTTCCCATGAATTATCAATTTTCTGAGGGGGGACTGGGAGGAGGGTTCAATGAGATAAGCAAAAAAAATTGAGTTTATTTTTTATATAATTCACCACCACTCTTAACGCGCTAATGACTTGTTCAGAAGAAGATTCCTTTATTATTGATGGTATCAGTATGGTATCAAATTGAAGAACTACACCTTTTGCTTTTGGCTTTCGTTACCTTTAATGAATTAAGAAACATATTTGCTACTAAAATAATAAGAAAAGGAAGGAAACAGTACGCAGAAAGGATTATCGTAGCATTTGATACATACTCAGTTCGTTAAAGAATATGAAAAGGCAACGACGTGGTAATTACTAAATTTGAAGTGGCCGGTGGTACATAAATAAAAAAACCATGTTTCAAGAAATTATTCGATCTTCTACCAATAAGCAATCACTGTTATAACGTTTATAACAAATAATTTTTTAGAATTACTAAACCTTCGATTTACAGCTTTGCAGATGACAACACCCTTATCTCGTCTTTCATATCGTGGACTGTGGTGGAAACAACATTGTCCAGTTTAATGCAGGAAAGACGCAAGCAACTATTTTCTCAAAAAACGCAAACTCCGCAGGATCTAACCTAACAATGACAGGACTAACAGTGACCTAGACCTCATCCATAAGCTTACTAGGCATCAACGTGGAAAACAACCACAAGTTTAGTAAAATGAGGGTTTACCAATTGAGTAAGGCCTCACGAGATTGGTAAAACCCTTTGCAAATGCTTTGCTTATACAATTTTTTCTACTACCATGCATAAAGTACTCACTTTACGCACTATTCAGAAGATGTACAATTTCACTTCACGCACTAGTGCTGTGTTAAAAGTATTTTTAAGGCACTTATGTGAATTGCAGAATTCGCTCCGCTCATTTTCACATGCGTGCCTTAAAAATGTACTTTCAACACTTATATCATAAATAACTATTACCTAACAAGTGCGGAAAGTGGTACTTTTCCGCAAGAGATGGCAGCCGTCGAGGGTGGAAAAGACATTTTCCGCAAGAGTTAGGTACAATATTTTTCCTACGAGTGTTTTTGTCCATCTTATTTATCAAAAAAAATGTTTCCAATACGCAAAGATTTTATAATGATGGTACAAAAGAGCACATAATATAAAATAATATATAACAAATCATTTATTTGATCCTAAATATCTTCATTTTTAGTAATAAAAAAATCGTGCGGAAAAGTAATTTTTCAGCACTAGTGCGGAAAAGTGGCTTTTCCGCACGATTTTAATTCTCCGCACGATTTTTTTATATGCAAAAAAATAATGGAACCGGATTTTTTTATCATGATCCTTTGCCTATATCTAAATTGGCCAAAAAAATTGTTAGGATCCCTCAACCTCGCGGGGCTATGCCACCTAAAATAGGGGCCCTGCGGGGCTGTGCCCCCAAATGAGGGGCTCCCGCGGGGGTTCGCCCCCGAAATAAAGGGCTTCGCCCTCCAAAAGGGGCCCAGGGCTCCGACCCCAAAAAAGGGCCCCCAGGGCTCCGCCACCCCCAAAAGGGCCCACGGGACTGTGCCCCCAAATGGGCGACCCCCGAACTTTAATACGGGTACACTTTTCAGTAAAAGTAAAAATCATGCGGAAAAGTAAAAAAATAGTGCGGAAAAGTAAAATCGGGCGGAAAAGTACAACTTTCAAAACGAAAAATCGTGCGGAAAAGTAACTTTTCCGCACGCTCGTAGGAAATAGTTATTTTCCTAACAAGTGTTAGGAACAAAATTTTTCCTACGAGCTTCATATCAGGTAGGTAACAACAAAAATTTTTTAAAAAAAAACGAGATTTTTTTCAATTATTTTCAATTAACTTGAAGCGAACCTATTCATTCATCAAAAAATTACATAACAAAAAAACAGAAAATTGAAATTCTCGTCAGAGCTGTTCATCTCAAGGCGTTTAAATTTGATACGAAAGAAGTTTGTAGATTCTTGCATGTAAATGAAGAACACAAATCTGACGTTAAAGATAATTATATTCAGTGTTTATATAGATGTTGGCTGATATAGAAACACAGGAGAAATTTGTCATCATGTGTCAAAGTCGACAGGTGCACTTATTGTTGCTTGACAATTATTTTTACTTTTCGGAACTCAGTGCGGATAAGGCCCGTATCCGCACTGAGTGCGGAAAAGTATAATTTTGAGAACGGTAATGCGTGCGGAAAAGTACTACTTTGCGCACGCTCGTAGGAAATAGTTATTTTCCTAACAAGTGCGGTAAGTGATACTTTCCCGCACGCGACTGCCGTTGACCCGAACGACGCGAAGCGGAGTTCGGGCAAGCAGTCGAGTGCGGGAAAGACACTTTCCGCATGAGTTAGGAACATTATTTTTTCTACGAGCGCGTTCAAATATAAAAACAAAAGCTAAGTAAATTCAAAGCGGATATATTAATAAAGAAATCATTTAATTACAAAATTACTTACCTACTCCTACTATTTTATATTTTTACGTTTACTTTCAAGAATGATTGAAAAAAATTATGTATTAAATCGAATTGATGTTACAATAAAAATTTCTAAGGTAAAAAAAATTTCTAAGGTAAAAAAACTGCCCCGCCTCAAAGGAACCAAAAAGTCAAACAATGTCAAAAAAAATTATAAATTTTTTGAAAGATCCACAAATTAGATTAATATGGATTAAAATAGGAATATTTCAGATAGTTTATGAGCGCATAAATTAGTTAGTAGTTATATCTAGCAAAAATGTATGCATACAAAATTGATGAAATGTTTGATTAATCAACAAAACTGACACTTCTGAACGCCACTTTCCCGCACTAGTACGGGAAAAAAGAAATCGCGCTCTAGTGCGGGAAAGTGACATTTTCGGAACTAGGATGCGTGCGGGAAAGTGATAAAAAATGCAAACTGCAGTGGTAACAGTGTGCGCATTTGCACTCCAGCCTGAACTCGAAGTGATTTCGGATGATAATTTGGACTATTTAGAGGAGCAAGTTAATGAAAATAATTAGTGAACAGCAAATATTTGTGCTAGTATTATTTGAAACCAAAGTTATGGATTTTAATAATTTGAATTTGCTCAAATATATCATGAAAATGCACCCAGGCTCAAAAAACAAGCAGTCCAAAGACGCGCGCTGCGCCAAATGTTGCGAAGGTACCCTGGGTAGTACACGGCCGGTAAAACTCAAGTTCAATGACGATATCTTGGAAACTATGCATCGCAGAGTATCGCGGTTTTTTTCAGAAACTTCCTTGATGTCTTAGCTTTGTTTCATTCGCTGATAATATGGCAGAAATCCCTAAAACAAAAAAGTTTCCCGCTTACTGAAAAAAGTACTGCATAAAAAGTGTAAGTTGAAGTTTTACCTAGTTTTACGAAAAAAATGAATTTTTCAGAAAAACAAAATTATCTTGGTGCTTTTCGCTAACAAATTCTCTTCAGAATAAAAAAGAAATAATGAAATTATCTCAATAAGTTCCGGCGATATCGCGAGGTATGTGTGAAAAAGTATGAAAATTGAATTTTGACAAATTTATGACATTTTTCGATATAAAAATTGTTGGACCTACGAAAAAATGTTGTACCTAATTGGTCATTTCAGATGGCCATGGACCTATTCCATCATCGATCTGTAAAGGTCTCATGTATACGAAGGCGTAGAAGGGACACCGAATTTTTTTTCCTCGATTTTTAAAATTTCGAGTTACAACACGAAATTTTACTCTAAAACTTCGACTTTTATGTCGAAATTTCATAATTTCGAGTTATATCACGAAATTTTACTGTAAAATTTCGCCTTATAACTCGAAAATTCTAAATTTCGACTTATATCACATGTAGCATACCTCAAAAAAAAAACGATTTTCAGTTCACTAAAAATCGAAGTGTGTGATAGAAAAACAGAATTCTAAATAATATGTCAAGAATAGGTCGTCACAAAATCCCTTCGCGGCAGAAAACGTTGTTTGCAAATGGAAGTATTGCATCATCTCATCGATTACCTTTTAGATTTCCACCGCCAGGCTAGGCTATGATGTCATATATCGCGGAGTGGCAACGGCTACAACAGCTGATTCGGCGTCCTGTTAGGTTAGCCGGAGCCGGAGTCGAAAGCGAAGCAGAACCATTTTTTTATTTATTCGTGAACGAGCGTAGCGTGAGCGTGAGAAACAACAGAAGCGGTGGTAGCTGTACACAAGGGAGTGTAATAAATTGATAGTATTTTTTTAACTTCTGTGTGAAATTGACGTCAAATACCTACTTAGGTAAGTTCTTTTCTTTTATAAAGATAAGTAGCAACATATTAAGTTTTCATTCGATTTTGAATTTTGAACTTTTGTTGTATGTCCATCAGTCATAAGCACAAAAAGTGGGACACCCAACTGACAGGTCTTGTCATTTTTCGCTATTTTGCGTAAATCAGTATTTTCTCTACAATCGATTTTTTGTCAAATATGACAATCCCTGTCATTGCCATAGGTATAGCTGGTGAGCCAGTTTTACAATAGGAAAAAACGGGTGTCCCACTTTTTGAGCTCACGACTGTAGGTACAGTTGCGATAAAAAAAAAGTAGTACAAAAATTATTAACCCCAATTTGAGCTCCCGTCCCGGTGTAACATAAAGTCTGTTTTTTTTTTTAAAGATAATTCCCCAAGTCAAAAATTTAGTAACTATGTTGGCAACACAAGCCTTTTCCACATAAAAAAATTTGGAAGCTTGACAATTTTACATTGTATTGGCAACATAATGTCATTTTGACTTTTATCTTTAAAAAAAAAAACAGATTTTACAAAATTTTGACAGGCAATGACATATTCTAGGTTGAAAACATGTGGAAAAATATCAAAATAATGTCATCTGAAGCTTTCTAGGTTAAAACTTGTCGAAAAATGCCAAAAATATGTCTTTTTGGTTATGAATTTAATTAATGTATAATAATAGACCAGGAGATATTAATTGGAGATTTTTCTTGTACTACCTACTTTTTTTTGAAAGCAACTGTACCTGTTTGCAATATTTTGTTTTTTAAATTCCATCAGTCTGTTAACTAGTTTCAAAACTGATAAACTTCTCTTTTTTGTGATAATTTTTCATTGCAGTGGAAAAACAAAAGCAAACGGAATATGCCCATCAATTTAAGGAAAATTATAGATATAGGACAATTTCAATCAGGATTTCATTAGTTGCATCGGATTTTTGGTACTATAAATAATTATTTTAAGCCTATCATCTTTAAATAAATTGTGCAGTTGGACATTTACCTTAGGTACCTTAACATACATATTTTGTTTCTCGTTCTAAGCTTTGCAATACCTATTTATTGTTATGGTTATTATTATTATTTAAACAATACTTCTTACCTAACCTAATCGGTATTTTACCTTTGTTTAATATGTTTGGGCTTTACAAACTTTTCTTATTTACTGAGTATTGATTGGAGTACGTTTCAAACAAACTTGAACTTTCCTCTATTTACTAAATTTCTAATAGATTTCTATTCTGAAATTATCGACCTCGCCATTAGAACTCAAAAACAAAATTGTTAAAAGCAATTATTGATAACACAAGCTTTTGAATTAAATTGACTTTGGCGAATTTTATTGACAACTTTTTATTATCATCATAATAGGGTTTTTGTTTGAACTTTTATGTGCTTTTATTATGAATGATAAATTATCACTTATGAGTCGGAGGTTTCAGTATAGTATCATCAAAGTCTATACTATCATCAATAATTATATTGTTTATCGAATTTTTATTCTCATCGCCCAATTATTTGTTATGTTATGAGTATTCAATGCACTTCGACATTGCGTGTTCTCAAGATAATAGTTAGAATATTTTTCCAATGAGGTCACATATCAACAAGAACGAAAATGAAAAAATTAATAAATATTTGGTATTTGTACCTATAGAATGATGTTTGCTGATAAAAATAGAGGAATAGTATATTACAATCCGAGACGGGAAATGCTTCATTACTGGTCGAGAGGTTTTATAGTTTATCGAGACGCGTAGCGTCGAGATAAACTGAACCTTGAGACAGCAATGAAGTTTCCCGTCGAGGGTTGTATACTATTTTATTTTTAACCATAATTTCTTGAAAAAACAAAAATTCGGGGCAACCAAATGAGGTCGGCAAATGAAGAGGAAAATGAGAACGGGAAATATTTCCCTGCTCCATTTTCCGTCCGTGGACGGGAAATGAGGACGGAAAAAAATTCCCGTCCTCACTTCCCGTCCTGGGACAGGTAATGGAGCAGGAAAATGAAAAGACAGAAATGTGACATTTTCAAATTTCTGAAAAGTCAGTAATGACAACATTTCATATTAGACTATCCAAAACACGTGACACAAAAATGGCCGACAAGAGGCACACAAACATTTGACACAAACACAAACCATAAGGTCATTAGGTTATGTCATTAATGATCATAATCAAATACTCATTTTCTATTGTGTTCGTCTCAATTTTTGGCCGTTTCTACCCAATTACGGAATCTCTATTGTTTGGGCAAGATTGCTCTACCTACATTTCACTTGGACACCCAGCACCTACCCTTAAAAAGTGAAAATATTTATTTGTTGTAACTCCGCCGTCCAGTGTTGTGCTACCTACTTTAAATAATGGATACAGGAGCATCTACAGAAAGACGATGAAACAGGCAAGGAACATTTATTACAATGAGAGGTTGGGCATCCGCATCCAATAAACAAAAAGAGTAACAAGCTACGCGAAAAAAAAAAAGAAATATACATATGTGCTTCCAATTTGAAAGCAGATAATATTAATTCATACTACTGTACGATTGCTCAAAAACTCAGTATCAAAAATAGAAAATCTTCTGGATGGGACGATATCTCAGTTAGGCTGTTGATGTGTTGGCTGATTCCATTATTAATTATTTTCTTACCGGAAGTTTTTCCTCATTTTTGAAGCAATCTTGGGTAGTACCTTTGTTTAATAGGGGGGTGATAAGAATTTACCATCTTATTACCGGCCAATATCCTTACTGGCAACTTAGACTAAAATTGTAGAGTGGCTAATTAAGGTGGATGGTGAGCTTCCTTGATAGACATAAATTGCTTTCTCTGTCTCTGTTTCAGCAGTCAAAAAACACTGATGATGCCATATTTCATCTCCTGGATGAGCTGTATTAGAAGATAAATGACGAAAAAGTGGGCGCGGTAGTTTTTTGTGACCTGAAAAAAGCTTTCGATTGTGTCTGTCATGAAGTACTGCTTCTAGGGGTGCAGTACTTCAGAGGGGTTGGATATTACTGCTGGAGTGCCCTAGGGATCTGTTATATTTCTAACTGGTTAAAAATAAAAATCTATCATGTGTCTAAGTTAACAGGTACATTTATTGTTGCTTGACAATTAGATTTACTTTCTGGCACTCAGTGCGGATAAGGCCCTTATGCGCACGGAGTGCCAAAAAGTGTATATTTGAGCACCAAAATGCGTGCGGAAAAGTACTACTTTGTGCACGCTCGTAGAAAAATTAATTATGTTCTTGGAAAGCCGTTTTCATGCAAATACCTTGGTATAAATTATTGCATAATGTTGAATCTGAAAAAGAAATAAGATAAAATACAAGTTGGGTTAAATCGTTGTAATGTTTTGGGACTACTTGTTGCCTCACTTCTGGGTTTTTGTTGTGTTGTGCTGTGCAATAAAAATCCAACATGATCGAATATACTATGTCTCGTAGGGAAAATGTACAGGGTGGTTGCACATCAAAAGCTTATATCACCCAAGTTTTTTCAATTTTCGAGGATACAATTTGGATATTCGTCATTCGCACCCAGAAAGGTAATTTTACTTCAATTGTTGTAGGTGAAATGAATAAATATTACCTAAAAATAGTTATTCAAGTATTAAGGGCGGTAAGGTGTCATTTACCGCCAGGTCTTCAATATTCGAGGGTGGTTAACGACACTTAACGCCCAAAATACTTATTACGTGTTATGCACATCGGACATTTCCAGTTCAAAAATAAAATAAATATACCTGAGTATATAATCGCATCCATTTGACATTGTTTTCAAAAATAACGCGGGCGATATGTTGAATTCACCGCCCGATCGTGGATAAAAAATATAACCTATAACGGCATGACCTTCTGGCCCGATATTCCTACCTGGTTTTATAACGTCTGCTAAAATAGAGGTATAAAGATGAAAAGGTTTTGTGTTCTTTAATTATATAATTATAGTACTTGCAGCTCTTCAAGGTGAAACTAAATAAGTATAGACAGATTTACTACCATAACAACTAAAAAAGGTACAATCTGCTTACCAGTTGAGTTACGATCAATGATCCAAGTAAACTACGTGAGTGGTGGAATTTTAAATATCATATTATCAATGTCTTCGATATTTTCCATGAAGATGAAGTACAGCGACATTTGATTGACTTGCTTCATTTCGGCTGTTTGCTGACGTGTACCAGAAAATCCTCTGTATCCCTTTTAAATCGCAAGAAATCATGCAGGAATAATCTAGCAATGATGCAGCGCCCAACTGCAAGAGTTAAGCCCAATTTATAAACTCGCCGTCGAGATTCCGTTTGCGTTTGCGTCGAGCACGCCGTTAACAATTAAATATTAGAAATTCCATAAGATCGTTTATATTCGCCGTCGGCCTTACAGTTCGCCGTCAGCTTAGAGACTACGGTAATCAGCTAGGCCGACGCAAACATAGACGCAAACGGAATCCCGACGGCGAGTTTATAAATTGAGCTTTATTGTAGCATGTAAAACCCCCTTCAGGGCCACTCACAAACGCTTGGTTGGTTCGGGTCATACGTCTTCGTCGAGGACTCTGTTTCTGTATTCTGTAAACCTGTCGAGCCCAACTACCTTTAGTTTAGAATTTAAGTCCCAAGAACCCTGGGAAGGACCGCGTGGCTGCAAAAAAACCGCAAAGTTTGACTTTTAAAAAATATATGCCTTTGTACATTTGATTTTTTTTTAAGCGTCTAATAATATGTTTTTTGTGCAACCGTCCGCGAAATGAGCTTTCGCGGCCGCTACACAGGCCGCGAAGCGAAAATGTCGCGACCGCCACACGTACCTGACGTGCAAAATGTTGCAAATCCATACAATTTTCTGTAACTTTACATAATTTTCACAGTTGCACAAAAAATAGTGTGTATACCATGACCACGAAACTTTTTAGCGTCCTCGTGATTATCCTGCCTCGGCCACAAGCGGCATCAATGTGAACTTTTCCCTACGTACGCTAAAAAATCATTTTGCA